AACCTTTTTGGTCGTTCGTCTTTCAAGAAAAATAAGCAGACCAGTAAACGAGAACTTAATGGGTGAACCAGGAGGTATACACACCTCGTTAGTTTCGTTCGCTTATAATGAAATCTGATAAAAACCCTGATCTGTAGTGTAAGTTTGATTTTCAAATGAAACTATCAGAGTAGGAATGATGAGCTTATACAACGTGTTATTCGAAAACGGTTAACCAGATAAGGTAAATTCTCCAAATCCTGCGGAAAAGCCATTATACATTCCGCCGAAGTTTAGAGGTGACGCACATAATATAATTTGAACTGCTGCACACCTGTGTTCAGAATTTCAGTCCAGTTTTCCAGATACTGGTTAAAATGTCACACATATTTACCCGAGGATCCTTTAATGCAAGAGAATTACGAATGGTAATGGCATCTTGATTGGGGGAGGGGCGAATAACGTAAGCAAGCCACTTTCTATCAATTCTGCTGCTCCTCTGGGATCAGTTACGTTAGTGGTTTTTCCAGAAGCTTAGTCGTACGTACCAGTGAATGTCTTCCAGTGTGGTCGAATGAAGATAATAATAAAGATTATAAATAGCTGTCACCAAGCCTACTGAATCCATAGTAAGCGAAAGGCTAGCATGGACAATCCACTTTTCATTTTTTATTCTGTCCCTACCAGTTTACCAAAAGTGGTCTAACTTCTAGTCAGAATTAAGCATCCAGGAGAAACTCGTACAACTTCATACACCACCTAGGCTGGTTTTATAATCAAGAGATTGTCATGCTCCACGCACGTGAAGTCTTTTAACTGTGATCTTCAACAATGCCGACGAACCGATAACGGCGATCGTCTTCTACAGTCCTGTTTAGATAATCATCTGCTCCTAGTCAGCACCAACTTTAGGCACAAAGACAGACACTGCGTAACCTGGTGACCTCCATCACCAAATCAACGCTGGACTGAGATAGACCACATAGCGATAGGGTATCGTTGGCGAAGGTCAGCAGAAGACTGCCGCTCCTTCTGAAACACGTGCGTAGATTCCTAACACCCTCTGGTCCGCGCACGTTTATGTTTACGTCTCAACGGGCAACAGCGAAGCAGTTACGTCCCCAACTAGGTCGAGACTCTGAGTTCCTATTTAAGGAGGAAATAGCGAAACGAGTACCTGACGTAGACAGCAGGACTCCTCCTGAGGTAGCCTGGCACAGCATACAGTTAGCTGTAGACAAAGCTATAAAAGCTGTTAATAACCTGAAACCTAAAGTTAGTAAGAGTCACTGGATTTCTAGAACCTCATCCGAACTGATTGACACAAGAAGACTGATTCCGGCTAGCTTCGAATATGATGAGGAGCGAAAGCTGCACAAACGAAAACTAACAAGAAGCCGTAGTAACGACCGTGAATAGTGGTGGGCGACTAAAGTGAAAGAGATGGAAAAGGCATCGGTGATAAGTAACACCAGACAACTATTTAGGCTTATCAGGGAAACAGGCGGCAAAAGTCAAGTGATAAGTGAAACAATCTCTGGGAAAAATGGCACCATAATTAGCTACCAGGATAGACGACGACAACGTTAGAAAGAACACTTTGGGGGAGCAATTTAATTGACCTACAGCCACGCCTTAACCAGATGCGCATTCAACACCTCCCTGATTGGGATGTAGACACAGGTCCTCCGTCCCTAACTGAAGTTACAAAAGCTGTCACCAGTTTGAAACAAGGCAAAGCAGTAGGAACTGAGGGAATGACTCCAGAGGTGTTTAAAAAATGGCGGTGACAGTTTACTGTTTAAGTTAACTAATGTATTAGGCAGCGTCTGGGAATCAGAGAAAGTCCCGTTGGGCTGGTGTAAGTCATTTATTATCCCCATATACAAGAAGGAAGACAAGTCTTCATGTGATAATCACAGGGGAATTAGCTTGACTAATATGGTATCTAAATTTCTAGGCTCAATAATAATGCGTAGACTAAGTGGTGCTCGGGAGGCACAAACACAAGAGAACCAGGCAGGCTTTAGACCAGGAAGAGGGTGTATTGATCATATCTCCGCCTTTCGACAGATTCTGGAACATAGGCATTCCTACCGGCGTCCAACAATCATTATATTTCTTGACTTAAAGGCGGCATTTGATTCTGTCGACCGAGAGGTTCTCTGGCTATGCTTGGCTACGAAAGGAATGCCGAGAAAATATATCGCACTGATCAAGGCACTCTACTCGAACTTATGCAGCCAGGTGAGGGCTTACGGCGAGTTGTCATCTGAAGTGGTGACGACTAGTGGTGTCCGTCAGTGATGCCCATTATCCCCATTTCTATTCAATTTCATCATAGACGTACTAATGGACTTAACCCTAACTCACTTCAGAGACTCAGGGATCGACTTGCTACCAAGGAATAATCTCGTTGACTTAGAATATGCAGACGATATAGTCCTTCTAGGCGAGGACGCTGACAAAATGGAGTCTTCTGAACACCTTGACCTGGAATCTACGAATGTTTGGCACGCGATTCGCTCCCGCCAAATGTAAGATGATGTTACAGGACTGGACTACACTGACTCCTAGTTTAGAAATAGGGAGTGAAGTGGTAGAGCACGTTGACCGCTTCACTTATTTGGAAAGTACCATTAGCCCCAACGGGTTGATCTCTAACGAAATCTCAGTACGGATACAGAGGGCTAGTTTCGCATATGCCAGTTTACGCCGTCCCTGGCGTAGACGTGATATCCGACTATCGACCAAAGGACGTGTGTACTGCTCAACAACCTGCTCTGTCCTCCTATATGGTTGTGAGACCTGGCCATTGAGAGCGGAAGACATGAAAAGATTAGCTGTGTTCGATCATAGGTGCCTGCGTTCTATCTGCCGTGTGGAGTGGTATAATAAGGTGAGCAATATTGAGGTTAGGCGCCGAGTGCTAGGTAAGGAGGGGAAATCAATCGACGAGGCTGTGAAATTACATCGACTGAGATGGTTAGAACATGTGTTACGTATGCCTAGCCATCGCCTTCCTCGACGGGCAATGTTAGCTGACATAGGGTCAGACTGGAAAAGAGCTAGCGGCGGTCAAACCAAAACAAGGCATCAGTCAATGAAATCCACAACAGTTAGTTTAAGCCACGTAGGAAGGTGTGGACTTCCTGGTTGGGGTCCTCGGGACGGTAAAGTCAATGGCTGGAAACAGTTGGTGATATGGCTCAAAATCGTTCTCAATGGTGCAGATGCATCCACTCCTTGTGACTTATGATTTCAAATGAAACTATATCGTTCTTTGTTATTACTATTCCTTTGTCTCACACATCTCTTTACTAACTCTATTTTGCATTTCTTCTACTTTCTTCTCTTGATTTGTGTGCTACATGGTGTGGTGACTTGAACTACTGCACATCGGTGCATAGTTCTATGTCGAAAACAGACAGACTGATGTTCAACAACTTATGTACCTCCCTCCCAAGCCCATATTATCTTAAATTATCCCATCGTATTGATTTTTGACTGTGTGTCTATAATGCACTGAAAACTTTTATCTTTATTACCTATATTTATCCAGTCTAACTGAACGTGATTATTAAAATATAAACTAACTATATTATGGGCACCAAGAGATGCGAGTCAAAAACAATAAGATGACAACATATATAGAAAATAGAGATTACATTAGGGAAGTCATCCAGAGAGCAATTAAGCATGCCTGCCAAGATCAGTCAACATTCATTACTTCATTGTACTTTCAGAAAGGGAAGATAGAAGGAAATTCAGCAAGTTCGCCACTGATTATAATTCTTGGTTATATCAAATAACATTTCCAGCCACCAGTCTATCGGATGCCAACCAGGGAGTCGTGATGTACCAGGTGATACCAGCCGAACACAAATATCCTGTATCTCACAGCGCCATGTCATGAGCTGACTACCTCTCTGGAATGACATTCATAGCTCATACCCAAGCCACTGAGACCGGTTCCCAAGATGACTACACTCAATGACTGGTGACCTCCACCAGATCCAAACACACGCTGCTGGACCTCAGGATTACTTACACTGCGTTGACGTCAGACGCAAGTTATTCTACGGAGACAGCGATGATCGAATACGCAGAATCGCCACACATCCTCAGCACGGAGATGACAAATTTCACAGACATAGAGCAAGACTGTGCACACCGAGGCATTGTAAGCCTGATCTAAACAGACAGGATGATGACGCGAAGACGCCATAGGTGGCCCAAATTGGAGTATTTCACCCTAGCTTTCACTACAAGATAACAGATTTCGTCCGTCACACCGACACCATCACTCACACACTTACCCAGGTGCACAGACTTGTTGACAACTTCAAGCGGTTCACCTGCAAGGGTGATTGCAAGCAAAGGCTCCATCAAAATGGACCGGCTCACATCCAGAAGCTGCAAGGAACCTGTAGAAACTTAGTGGTTTTTAGCATAGCGTTCTTTTAAGCCACAAGCGATTTTATTCACCATTTTCATAGAATTTTGCAGGTGTAGCCAATGTTCATCTGTCCTATTTGGAGGGCTGCTAGCTAGCCTTGAGTTTAACTCAGTCTACTGTGCAGTGGCAGCAGGTACTACCAATTCACTTACATCAACCTGTAGGGGACACCGTCTACGAACATCACTAAATCACAAGATGAACCTAACATACAGTAAAGCATAACAGGATTTCAGACAGGTGCTCCAAAGGAAGCGGCAGTCCCGTACTCATCCACGGCATTGGAAACTGAAAGCAACGTGGACAATCTGAGTCCAAGCTTGATTGGAAGAGGGAGGATGACAGGTAGCGCTACGGCAATGACTGTGTCTAAAGTTGGTGCTGGCTAGAAATCGGCTATGACCTGCTCAAAGCTGCGGAAGGCAATAATCTAACTGAATACAATTCTTTCCTAAAATTTAGTTGCAACTACTTATTCTTGTTAACCGGAATGTCAATTACATAAGTCACAGTCACTAATTAAAAGTAGGAAAAGATAAGTTTCATAGTAATTTCTTATTTATTTGTATATTTACACAATCAAATACAACATAAATGTAATATTGGAAAGGTTTAAAAAACTGCAGAAAATAGTGCTGTTACTAAACATTAAGACTGTGAATGTAAAACATTAGCCAAATGAAGCCACGTGAGTGACAATGGTATTGGATCTGAGAAACTTGGTGGCGCCGACAAATTCCACAAGATAACCTGATCTAGTTTTGTTCCAAACTTAACTGGTTCCAGTTCATCTGATGCCACTCCACTGTGATGAACGGTAACCGGAGAATAACCGTCTGGGAAATCTAACTGAACGCCTCGCAGTGGTCTGCCCCGAAAATTCGAAGTCAATATCGAGTTGTTATTTATAGTATTGCACTCAGAACTATGGCACTCTAAGAAAATAATGCAATTTACCTCAAAGAGCCCATGGTAATAAGGTCCGTATCTACTTTGACTCCTTTGGCTTCAATTTTGCATGGCAGCCAATGTGCAATCATAGTTGTGAACAACTTGCCAAAATCTAAATAATTTGGGAAATAGAGATTTACGACCATAACAGAATTATTTCTTAGAAAAAGCAATAAGGTTGAGCTTTATCGTTAGCTATCATGAGCAGCGGTTTGTCACCATAGGATTTGAGAATGGACTCCTGTAGATAGAGATTACCCTTTACTGAATAAAGTTAAAACGTGTGCTGCCCAACTTTTTCACTTCGTAAATATATCCTGAAAATGATTTTGCATACTCTAAAGCTCGTCAAGGCCTATATATGACTGCAGCAGTATATATATATATATATATATATATAGTAGTACTTGAATCCAAGATGATAACCTTGGACCACTTAAAAGGATTACTTATATATACAGACACTTCCCAAACATTAGTTCACTACATTAAGGCATGAGGCTTCGTTCAAAACACCCTTGCATCACCACTTAAAATTATTCGACTCCTAAATAAAAACTAGCTTGAAATCATCCACAGTTGCATATTAAGAATAATGCACTGTATTAAGAGATACTGTTGGGAAAAAGCCGAGGACGCCAACTTCCTTCGTATGTCCTTCTCAACCTTAAAATCGGTTAAAATGACAAGACAAATAAAATGGATTGACAAATGAATATAATGGAATCGGAGGGACAAAAAAGAACAGAGTTAGAGAGCACAGATAAATAATTAGCAGGACTGGTGGACTATAGAAATAATACCAATGACAATTAGGTGGAACTAAATTCAGAATTTCGCATCACGTTTACGACACAAAACAAAGTTGGTACCAACAGAATCACGCTTCAAAGGACAAACAAATTAAGAACAAGTAAATGAGGATAATTAAAGATGTTTAGAACGTTAATGACTAGAAATTCGAGTGAATCGATCATAACTCTCAGTGACTTTGTAAGAAGGTTTATCTTGACTTTTGAAAAGCTTAATGGTCGACTATTCTAACTTATTTAAAGGGACTATTTTCACTATATAAACCAACTAGTACCTTAACTAATCTTATCATCAATTCTTCAAAATCATCCTAAAACACTTTTCCAGATGTTAAGTGTAACTTTATCTAAAACTTGGGATACCCTTTGCAATCTGAGCAAAGGTGAAAGTCAAAATTCACATACTAATTAGGCTAAGATTACGTACTGGAGTGACTGTGACGCAGCCATAGACTAACTATAGTGGTTCTAAGTGAATCGCTCGTCCCAGCTACCTATACTAAAAAGATATTACACCCATCTCTAGGAGGTATCCTGACTCTTAGATGTCTTCAATAAACTATCATGAATAACAATTATTACCAAAAGGCAACTCTTCTACTTTTTCCGATGTCACCCAGCAATGGTGGAAGTCAGTAAACAATAATTATGACATCAGCATAGCCCCTGTGCTGCTGTTTCCATAGTTCGAGAGCTACAAACGCAGTCACTCAATCACTATTTAGAGCTTTCAAACAGTAAGCATTACCTCAACTTAAAATAAGCGTCACTGATACTCAATTTACTTTGACTAGATCCAAGACAAGTACTCTATACAAGCAGTGAACCCTGCCTCTAAAAGGTTTCGGATAGGCTAGAGAGTTTAAAGTAAACCCACATGTGCAACTCCTGAGAGGTTACCATAAAACGAAGAGCAAAGAAAATGTTGTGATGTGATGAAAAATCTTGATCACTGATTATCTTTTTCTTACCACTAGTTAGGAACAATATTTTAAAAAATCATAAATGAAACACTGTTTTCAGGATTTCATAGTGGCCAATCGAAGAATGCAAATGGGTAAAGTGTGGAAAACGTAGGGGAAAATGGCCAGTTTCAACTCAAAGAGAAATGGATAAAGGGTAATATGAAATACTCACTTCTTTCCCATTTTCTCAAAAACTCGCTTACTCACTTCTTCCTATTTTAGTCAAGTTTTTGAAAAGACTGCTCACTTTTTCCCACTTTACCCATGTCATGGAAGTGCATTTTTAGAAACACCCCACTATTCCTGGTTTCAAACGGAATGCAACCTACGTTTCTACCTACCTTGCTTATGTTCACGATAAACTCTTCCAATAGGGATAAAGTTTTTTTATACCTACTGCGTAACTGTGCGACAGAGCATGTCGAAATAGCCAACATACGAACAATTTAGTAACAGGTATCTGTTTGTAAACCTATTCATGCACTACACAATGTGTGTATAATAATCCTAAGTTAATACTTGAGAGAAGACCTTCGGGAGTCGTAAATTTATACGTTTGTATAAAAACCATAGTATCTTAACAGTAGATAAGGAACACAGAATACAGTTAGCGGTATCTCCATCAACAGAGGTGAGAAACGGAACACACGTTAATCGAGCACATGTTATATCAATACAATTATACTCCACCCACACAGAGTTTGCAGTAATTACAAATCCCCGCCAGTGGGGGCCAAGTTAAACTTTAGACACCAGTAACTACCAATCAGCGAACGACGTCGAATTATCCAATGAGATTCACGAACGTAGTTCAATGTTGTCTTGGTTCAGCACAGGAGTATCAGTAGAAAAGTTGCACCATATCCTATACATGTATTCATTTAAATGACTATAAAGTGCGTCCTTTCCGGATCCATAAATGGCTTCCAATATTCAACATCGTTTTTACGAGCTAGTATAAACCAATTTGATTTCTTTGTGCTCGCCTCTTGATTGTGAGGTAGAGGTTCCTGATCTTCGGTAAACGTCTGCGTAGCTCGTCCCGCCAATCGACTGTCGTAGCTTTGGTTAACTCCAAAAGGAGTAGTGCAGGGATTAATTGTATGTGGTTTGTAGAATGAGGTGTGTTAAGACTGTTACTACTGTGAATGGAGTTGATCCTTTCACCAGTTGGTCCTTCGGTATCGTCGTCAATAGAAAAGAGATAATAATAATAGATATAATTAGTGAAGGTATTCAGACTAACAGACAGAAAAAGAATAAGAAAACGTAACAACAGTCAGTCAACCGGCATATATATATATATACCGGTAATAATGATGATAATAATAATAGGTGTAGTTAAAGCTGTCAGGAGAGTAAGACGGAAGAGAATGTAAAGAAGTCAAACGACCAGTTTAATTGTCTACCCTTGAATGATGTATGCGATTTTAAGGGGATAGGCCATTTGAATGCAGTCCTTGTGTCGCTGCATGGTTGTTCAGCCTTCGCTTAAAGGCGTCCACAGATGGTGCCATAGCTACATCTGCGGTAAGGATCTCCAGGGACGGCAAACCCGCAGGGAAAAGAAGTGGGAGCGCACCCAGGTCTTTGCCCTCTGATGAACTATCCTTCTAGGATTTCCACGAGGTGGCCTATACCTACTCAATGGCAGAACACCTTTGTTTGGGTGATTCTGATCATTTGTTATTTTGTAGGCAGTAATTAAATCCCCCTAAGACGACGGTAACTAAGTGTGAATAGGCCTAATTTCTTCAGCCTTTCATCATAAGGTTTATTTCGGAGACCAACCACTCTTCTTGTTGCTCGTCGTTGGACTCTTTCCAAGAGGCTGGCGTCTCTTCTAAGCAGTGGGGGTGCAATAATATTATGCACTTCAAGGTGTGGTCTGACGTATGTTTTATACAACCTTAGAAAGAGCTCAGGAGTGAGTGCACCTAACTGTCTATGTGTAAAGTGTATGACCGCATACGCCCTCGCTACATCCCCCGTGTAATTTACGCTTGTGTCCATTTTCTCAGTTAGAACTAGACCTAAGTCACGTTCCGACGTTGAGCAGGACAAGCTTTCATTGCACAGGGTGTAATTTGCATTCTGCAGTCTGCAGGTGCGTAACTTCACTACTTTGCACTTTTTCAGGTTGAAAGTCATGACACTGGCTACCGTCCAGTCTTCCAGAAGCCTTAGATCTGCCTGCAGTCTATCTGAGTCCTCCGAACACTTTATCGCCCTCCATATCTTCACGTCGTCAGTGTATAGAAGAGTCAGGCAGCTTAGACGGCATGGTAGATCATTGATAAAAATCAAGATTATCAGTGGTCCCAGGATAGAATCCTGCGACACTCCTGATGGTGAGCTGTGCCAAGATGATCGGATTCGATTGACCTTGGTGCAAAATTGCCTTTCAGTTAGGTAGTCCTTTGACTATGACAGAAGTGGTTTACCTATACCTACCTGGCTTATTTTGCGTAGGAGAAGGTCATGGTGAACAGTGTCAAATGCCTTCTCAAAGTCTAGAAAGATCACATGGACTGGAACATTCATATCCCAGCATGATGTCCAGTCGTCCCAAGCTGATAATAAGTTAGTGACGCAGGATCTCCCTTTTCTGAAACCTTGTTGGGCTTCATGGAGTATTTTGGACCTGTCGAGATATTCCCTGATGTGATCGTCAATAATACTTTCCAGTACTTTTGATGCCACTGGGAGTAGAGCTACTGGTCTATAACTAGTGGGATTTTGCCTATCCCCACCCTTGAAGATCGGAGAAAGGATGCTTCTTTTCCATTTCCTTGGCAGTTTCCCCGATTCCATGGAGTTTTGAAACAAGTCGCATAAGGGCCTACAGAGAGCTTCGGCGCACTGTTTCAGAACAGATGGCCTGATGTCGTCACAACCTGGGGACTTCCCAGGTGTGAGTCGCTGCAGCTTTCTTAGTATTATTGCAGGGTTTACCTGCGGAGTAGCCATCTGGTCTTCCTCCGGTGAAATAGTGGTGCCACCATTTTGGTCCGTAACGGTAATACCCATATTGATGTTTAGCTGTTTGGCGAAGGCTAAACTGAATGTTTCAGCCATCTCCAGACTAGTGAGATATTGACTGTTTTGGCCTACTAAGGCGCATGACCCCTGGTTGGTTGGTTTTCTTTCCGACATGAATCTGTACAAGTTCTTGGGGTTTGCCAGGAGTTTTTTAGCAACGTTAGCCTGTCCCTCCTGACTCTTGCATTGCACCGGTTCCTGAGTTCCAGGTGTGCGTCATGGGCTCTTAGATACGAGCCACGTAAACCAAGCCTTCCGCTTTGCTTGCGGAATACGCTGCGTGCCTCTCTCTAACCATGATGACTTTCTTTTGGGCTGAGTTGTGACTAAAGGGACGGTATCCGAGATTACTGTATGAATAATCTTTTTTACCACTTCCCAGTGTTCATCCACAGACAGCTCATCCCATGCTTAGAGCCAGTCTGCGTCGGACAAGAGCCTCCGCATTTCAGCATAGTCAGCCTTGCTGTAACACAGACATGGTCGCGTAACGTCCCACTGCAAATGCTCACGGAGAATGAGATCGAAACCTGTGACTGCATGGTCACTACTTCCTAGAGGAGTCGTGATCTGGACCTTTTCGACAAGTAGTTGGTCACTAGTTAGAATGTAGTCTAGTTTTGATGACTTTCCACTAGGGCCCCACCTAGTGTCGTCTCCAACGTTCTCAGTCAGTCCCGTGTTCCGAATAGCTTGCAGTAGATTTCGGCCGAATTTTCCCTTAGCATACCCCGAGCCAAGGTTCAGTGATGGGGCATTGAAATCTCCAGCAATGGTGATTTGGTCATAGCCCAAGTCTCGTATCCCTTTGATAGTGCTGAGCAGTAGCTGATTGTGCTCTGCCCCACAGGTGGGAGATCGGTAGATGCCACCAAGTAAATGCTTGGTGTGGCCTACAGTGAAATGACACCATATGGAGTCTGGGAGTTCAATAAGTGGTGGGTCCGTTGCGCGCACACATTTAAGTTGCCTATCAAAGTATATAGCAACTCCCCCTCCTTCCTTATTATCCCTGTCTCTCCTGACCAGAACCATATCACCTATACTTATTTCATTATCGGCGACAGCGGGGGTTAGCCATGTTTCTGTGAGAATGATCATTTCCAGTTGTAGGTGTGCTTGGAGATTTCGGAGTTCACCTATTTTTCCTCTCAGCCCCCTCACATTGCTATATAGGCAGCTGACAGTGAGTCTTACAACCTCAGCGTGTTGTGGGGTGGTTGACGTGAAGCTGTCTGCTGGTAGGGGACTTAATGTCGGGACTGGTTGGCCAGTTCCGATGGAGCCGGCCCGTTGTGGTTTTTACCCATGGATTTAGGCAGGACACTTGGATGACACAGACTGTTATTCTCAGAACTGCATCGCTCTAGTGTCACTGAAGCTTGGGGACGTATTAAAGCCTCAGTTTGCTGCCTCCTTATGGTTTGAGGTCTGCTTTCGCAGCATCGGATGTGTCCTCCTAATTTCCCCTTGATCTCATACCACCGTTGAAGCGCTATGGCCAACTGCTCTGGGGAGTGGAATGTGACACTTAGCTGCTTTGGAGAGTTAATCAGTGTGAGATGAGCGGAGCGAGGTAGTCGGGAAATGGAGATGGCTCCAGAAGCGCCAAGGGCCATCTGAGACGACAGCCATCTCCACTGCTGTACTTCGTGCACGTGTTTTTCACAGGCAGTGCCCATTTCCAGCTCCGCAACACCGTGTACCACCATAGAGGTAGAAGGCAAAAGTTCCGGTGACTCCCTCGCCATTTGTCTGATAGCCCATGGTCTGTCTTGTCTCACCCTTATGTTCGAACTTCTGTCGATGGCTAGTACCTGAGCCATCAATAGTACCTTTTCGGCCTCTTCGGCAGAGTCCAGTGTAACCCGTAATGGGGGTGGCTTACCTTGAGGTGTGTGGACACCCCTGTACAGCCTGCACAATTTCACTGAACTAATGTTCAGACCTAATTTATTGCACAGGTTGGACCACTGTTCCTGATCAAACAGGGCCCGCTGTTCAAGCAAGCTGTCCTTGCTCACAGGTACGTTAAAGAGGATAAGAGAATTAGACCGATTAACCTCAGACTTAGGTTTGGCCTTTGGCTTCTTGTATTCCTTTGCAGCATCAGCAACTTTAGGCTTCATCGGGTTCTGTCCAGCCTTTGTTGTGTTGCCGAGCTTGCTTGTGGATGCAAGTGGTACTTTTCTAATTCTCTCTTCCCTTGATTTTGTGGGTCCAACCTTTTGAATCTTCACCTTATGAAAATTGGCATTTTCAGTCAGTAGGACTGGAGTGTCCTTCTTACTGTCTGAGCCAAGTTTTGGCAGTGTGATGTTAGCAGGTGGGGA